GAAAAATTAGTCTAATATCAAAATTAATTAACCTGAAGTCTATCTCTTAACTCTTCAAAGCCGAAGTTCATCTAAATAATATATAATTCAGTCCGTACCGCAAAGAAAACACAACTCTTCACCATTACAAAGTTCAACTGGTTAAAGCTGTTTAAGGAATTAATCTTCGTTTGCACTAAGACTCATACGAGACACACAAACACAAATGCGGAGTTACTGATCGTTAAAGAAGGTGGTTAATATATTTACCACTTGGTTTTAAAGGGCTGAGGTCGTCTCTTAAGTGAAGGGCACGTCGGGTCAGCTGGCTCAGAGTTGCGTGCTGCCAGAAACGCGTAAGGTCAACACGAGTTCCCAAACAGATTTAATTTCGGTTTATCACGCTCTCATAAATGTTAATGAGTGCAGGTGAACGTATTTCACGACTCTGAATAATTATCCGCCAAGAACTGACCCCAGTCAAAACTGATGACTGAGGAGAAATGCGCAAATCGTCTGTCACCCGTAACAAACCGACGCAGTGGACAGACGCGTGTCATTTGCTCGTCTGCATAGCCAATGACAAATTGTCTTCACGAAATTTAGTACAGTTACTAAAGCATCGCGTGTCCAGCCTTTCGAATTCCTGCGACGAACGATAAAGCGAATGCACGGCATTATGGGCATTTCTCAATAGTTTGCACGAAGTACGAAAAGTGGGATTTGTAAAACACGCAGTTTCCGTTCTCAATTGTATGACACTCTTTAAATATAAGTAACACAATTACATATTATATTCTATTATGGCAGATATATCACCTTCCTTACGTCTACTCTTGTAAATAACACGTAGATACAGAAAATAGTGACTGTGTTCGACGCAAATTTGAGATATGAATGTGTAAACAAAAGCTGTACGAATTGACAAGGGGATGATGGTGTTTACATCCCTAAATTAGGGCAGATCTAACCCTTATTTTATCACAACTCGTTTCAATCCTACTTCAAATCAGTCAATTTAGTGTCAACGTGCTTTAACATTCAGAAACTCTGCGTTTTTCCAACAGATTATATTTAAGTACGTACTATATTTCTCATAATAAACAGCTGTTATTTCTCATAAAAATCGACAGTCAAGATACTTGGTTTCCGGTTCGAGATTCGAAAAATATATTTCCCAAATACGAAGCAGGTTACGAAATGTAACTGATTTAACTCACAGATAAACTGCTTTCATTTTATATGCTCCTATTTATGGTTAATTTAGTCATATGTAAACTGATTCCAAAGTTCATAACACAATATCCATCAGATTAATACAATTTATATGATCGTGTAATGTATGGTATCGACAACGCATTCTAAACGTTGGCCACAAAACGGTGATTCACTTGTCAGCCTATATGTGACACTCATTTATGCGAAGTTCCAAGTTTGTCAAAAGGACATCCATAATTTACTAGAGCACATAATTACAAACACTGAACTTCGCAAGCAACGTACAGTAATTACCTCGATCAGTATTAAGACTATAGTATAGTAATAGTTTAGGCTAAAATTTTGGACATTATCCATCATCTGTTTGTTTCTCGTAACAGTCCAGTGTTGGAGACTGGCTCCATCTAAGGGATTCCACAGGGTATGAACCTATTAATATGTTACGTCAAACAAGACTGGTTCAATTTCGTAAAAACCGATAATCACAAAAAGTGACAACAACGTAGGAACATAATTCGGATACAATGTTATCTAAAAAAAACTTTACTTGCAATATCCGCTGCGAATGAAACCTCCTTAAAATTTTAACTACAACTTTTAATCACCCTGTATATACGTTATCCTCTCATCACCTCCTTGGTCTTCCAAGTAGAAACTTTCAAATTTATTCTCCCAAACTAGAGTTCTACTTTGCAAATCTCAGGCAGTTAAGAGCCTAGGAGGCCTCTTAATTTCCATACAGGTCCATATACAAACATGATTGGTATTGATCTACGTATATGGGGAATCAGTGAACAGGAGACCGACAAGGGTAGGGGGGTGTGCTCCAGTTTCCACCCTTCCCTCACCCACACGTAAAAACACGTATTGCGCGCCGGTTCTGTTCACATAATCTAATTTCCGAGACCGGTAAGCCATTAATTTGCAGGGTAGACCACAAAGCAATGTTCTTACATAAACGTAATTCTGATTCCACAACCGTGGAGGGATGATCCCTCCCAACAAACAGACAAACGAGGCAGATTTCACCACAGACACTCGAATAACTTCGTTCACAGCATACAGCATTCATCCTCGCCTATCAAGACATAATCGAGTGATCTCTTAGATGGTTGCCGACGTTTCGGAGGGACAAAAGAAATAACTGACAGGCCTACGTCCAAATTTGTTCCATTAATTTTGTGGAGGTCACTAGTTCATTTATACACTGACAGAATAATTTTACGGAGAAGAAGGGGGAGGAATAATATTAAGGGATAAACATAACACAAAGTTTTCAGGAGAACATGGAAACCTAAGGCGGATAAAAAGTCTGACTCGTAACACAACGACAAGTTTCGTGTTTTACACAAATAACATGGTTGCTTTACGTTATTAAAAACATGTTTCACGCAAACATTTTCACATCCGTGCGCTGCCGAATGTAAAGTAGCTCACGGTACAGTGTACTAATGAATCACGACAATTATGCGGCGCTGACTGGTAAAGACGAAAATGAAAAGAAATATATAACCTATCTGTTATAGAGAAATTAATTAATTAATTTCCTTTTATTACGTCTAACATAAAAAAAACGTTTCAAATAAAAAATTGAACATCATGGGATGTTCGCATCTGTTTTGTGTCAAGTACTGTAATTAATGTAAAAGTTTTTTGTTTTAGAAAATTTATAAATTCAAACTGAAACGCATTTTAAAGTTGAAATTAAAAAAAATTAGCACGATAAGTCAAATATCAAACATCAAAATTCACTGAATAATTTAGATGCTGAGAGCGCGCGGACGGACAGACGGTCGGACAAACACAAGAGTCATGGGCTTCCCATAATGTGCTTGTTTTGTGTCCTTCGTGCAAACAACGTATAAAATACTTGGGGCATTGAACAACAGACCTATATAAAATAATCAATAAACACGCTTTGCTATGAACACAAGAAAACTTTTTCCTTGTCTGCATATTCCTGCTCTTTTAAGTTGTCAAAACGAAAGTTTCTGCTCTCTCTCTCCCTCTCTCTCTCGTAACATTATGATTACGTAACTGTCCACAAATTTAAGTGCTCGGTTTTTGTGAGGTTTAAAATGTCGACATTATCAAACACTGAGTCGAACAAAGTCTGTTTGAACCTTTCAGGCGTCATTAAAGTCGCGGAGGTGAAAAACGTTCAGTTGTATTGTACGAGGAATGATGGCCGACAATCAGTCTCCATAGTAACCACAGAACACAGCTGTATCCTGACCAAGCAGGTTAAAAGTAACAAAGATTTACATCGACACTCGAGATGTTAGCGGTTCAAATCTTTGCCGAGATATATATCTCGTGAGATCCAAGGTTCTCACGACGGTGAAGACGTAACGTTGGTCTTCTGAGTTGTAAGGCCGTGTAAACTAGTATGTAGATAGCAGCTTTTAGGAGGAACATACTGTCTACATCTTCAGAGCTGAAGATAGATACTGTTTCTACTTACGAGTCTACACGGCGTCGAAACCCATAAAAAACAACGTTACCGACAGAGAAGTTTCCTCCTCTGATAAACCCAGTCTCTGAAGACCGATATTTTTAATCGAGATATCTCGTCCGTAACAGGGAAAGGGTTAAACAGGGAACACAACGGTAGGTCTTCATGTTTCCTGATACTTTAAACTGGATAACACCAGGAATGTGCCCGTATACCCTACGAGCAGGATTAAATTACGTACGAGTCACGAACGCTTCAAATGTTACAATGTTGCTTTACAGTTCTCTTACTTGTTAACCGAGTTAACGAATGATTAAACTTGACAGTGAGTTTGCATGCCAAGCGAATTCCCTGCCCCCGTAATTTCTCATGAAACCTGCAAGGGACACATTCGCTGTAGTTTAATACCAGTCACTCTCGGTTCTCCTTACCCGCATCGGCGCCGGGCTCGACATCTATGGCTAGGTTATCAGCACAATTAATTTTGTTTATGTTACTGAACGCTGGCCATTTCTAGAATACGTGTTTCAAAATATAAAAGTTAATTTTTAATACTAAACTAAAAGACTATGTATGTGTGTGCCTATTAAGATATTAGTAAGGGCATACATCGTCATCGCCCTGAAGATGAAAGCAATAAACACCCCCGAAACGTCGGTAAATATTTACCAGTCTACACAGCGCAACAACCCAGAAGACGGAAATCTTCATACTCTTCGCTCTGATGACGGAGGCAGTATGACCTCTGAAACGTCGGTAAATATTTACCAGTCTACATGGCGCAACAACCCAGAGGACAGCCATCTTCAGACTAACCACCGTGAAAAATCTCAAATACTACAACAGGTTACTACCGTTTCCTTCAACATAATTTTGAATTCAAATTATCAACACGCTACACGTAACTTAAAAAATTCCTCTGTAAGCTTAACGTCTTGTATAAGTTCGCGTTAAACCTTTAAAACCCAAGAATCAGAAAATAAAATATTAATATCAATAATATTTAAGCATCCGGCCCGTACAGCGAAGAAAACACAACTCTTCACCATTACATAAATCAAGTGGTTAACGGTGTTTAAGGAAATAATCGCCGTTTATAATAAGAATAAATACAAATAAAGAATTCTTGACTGTTGAAGTAGACTTAAAATAACACGTTCTGCAAAGTTGTTCCCGTCAAAATTACGTGCGTTCAGCACATATGGACACAAAGGTTTAGGTTCTCATGTTAAGATTAATTGGAGCACAATCCAACAACCACACGCGGATGTTCAGTTTACATTCGCGTGGCTTGCGGATGTAACAGCAGTTAGGGATAGTCAGTGAACTGACAGAATGAATGACCTACCTAGTTTATACTGCCCGTAGATATGTCTAGAGCAGGTGCACTCTACAGCTGTGACATTTTCCACTAAGACCCCCTAGATCAATTCCATGTCTAGTAATTACGTCTCCAACCAATATCAATGTAACACCATTGTAACACAAAACATCTGTACCTTTCGTCCATTAAGTGGTTATCACACCCTAATTATGATTGTTTCTGTAAACAGAATAAATCATTGTCATTCACATTAAATGTTAAAGTTGGCCTCCTTCACAGATACACTTCACTCGCATGACGAAAAAAAAGTTCGCCTTCGCTAAAGTAATTCTTCACGGAGCAGAAATGTAATCACGTGATCATCTGTAGAACACCAATGATACAAACGGACACCGCTGTAAGGAATAAGTGCTCATTTCGGTTTCTCGAACTGAAAGTAATGTGATGGTTAAAACCGATTAAAATTACTGGCAAATAAGCTTATATTGACGCGTGATGAACAATCTCATTTGTAAACGGTAAAAACTTGATTAATAATCACTTCTTTTGACATTATCTCCACAAATATAAATTTACACTAAAACACGAAACACAAGTCAATTTATTTTTTATTTCTTGCAAAAATTGCGATCTAGTTTTAAAGAAAAACATCTAGTAATCTCACTAGAAACCGTCAATAAAACATACACAAATCACAGAGTATTAATTAATCTCCTCCCATGTCCGTCAACATTTCTGCAACTCAGATTCAACGCTCAAGAACTGCAAATATACATGGTCCGACAACAAACCATCGGATAACGCAGCTCTACGAGCCGGTGCTCTGTCGCAAACGACGCGCGACTTGACAGTGTGAACTTCACCTAGCTAGAGCACTCACAGAGGGGTTGACCTGACGCGCAGGCGCCAGTATCACGTACGTTAGAACGTTGCGTGCATGGTCGCCAAAACACAATATGGCGTATATTCCATGGGCATTCAAACTTATCACTGAAGGCAAAAACAAACTGGAGCGTTATCTCTTGACAAATTATGGAACTGTTAAAAAGGACAGTGGAACATAACCGAATCTTAAAGGAAACAACAAATACCACAAAAATAACCCATTTCAATGGAACTTTACCCTTCTTAAGAAGCTAACAGTCGCTAAAATCATAAACACAATGTTCACTTTCCACGGAACCTGATCGTCCATTACCGTGTTCACAAAAGCTCGCTTGTGAGGACATCGGATATGAATTTCGAAATATTAAAGAACGCTGGAAAATTCTCGAGTGGCAAAAATATGTTATGAACATTACCTGATGTTGTACTCTTTCGGGGATATTGCAATTCCAGAGGAGCTCTTATCTCAAAATCACGAGCGATTACTTCAGCAGCTCAACAAATGAAATAACGAGTATAAAAATTGTATCCAAGGTCATGACATCACGAATGTAAAACTATAAATAATTATGATATAATCTGTTGTAGACTTTTAAGGGAAGTACGATTTCATAATTTACACAGAGGACGTTAGTAAAATTGAAAAAAAAAAAGAAAATTCAGTCGATATCCTTACATGGATTCAAACCCGGAAATTTCCGAATACGAGGCAAGAGTGATAACTCGACTGTAAAACTTGTCATCTTATCCTCCCCTCCGTATTGCGATGACGTCATGTTGAGAAACGACGCGCACTTAAATCAACTCAAAATGAGATTGGATTTCAAAAGTATTTCGTTAGTATTCGATGACAAGAAATCAAGTTACTCGTGACACACGAACACAATGGCGAGAGAAACAGGATTAGGGGCGTGGTACCTCACTGATGAGTTCGACGTGCCATAAGCGGATAGACGACGACGCTCCACAGGGTGACATTTCCGTATAATTGACGTAATTTTCACGTAATAACAGTCCAAAGTAACGAGCGCCCTCACGCCCCCACCCTTCATCACAAGCGATGCGCCGTGCGTACGTCAGCTGCTGATAGGGCGGCTTACAACCCTATTTACTTACAAGGACGCATTTTGAAAATTAAGGCAGTGCAATGAGTGGTTTCTACATAAGGAGACCAAACAGTGGCATCGTTAACAGATCAAAACTGCCTTCACGATAAAATTACGATAACATTAAATTCGCGGAAAGTAGTTCAGAATTTGCTGTTATCTGAAAATGTGAAGATCAATGTTTATTGCCTGTTAGCAGATGGTACATGTAGATACCACTGGGCTTTGAAGGGTTAAAGTCGCTAAATTTGCAAGGCGCTTCGTACAAAGAAATCCAATGAAAACACGACGCACGTCGAACACAAAGCAGCTCTAACCGAATAAGGGAGACGGGGAGCGGGCGAATGAAATCCAAGTATCCTAGCGACTTCTCACAATCAATGTAGGTCAGATATTAAAGACTCTCTGAATCGGATCAGAATTCTGTTTCACGAAAAAGTACGAAGCTTTCATCAGATTTTCTTCATAAGAAAGCTAAAATTATTATCAAAGCCCCTATAAACACGTCATACTTTTATAGTAGCTTATAATTTAATTTCGTACTCGTTTATATCCAGTTTAGGCTAATATTGCCTCGTGATTTAGAATGCCGTGTTCTAAGGATAAAGAGGAAATCACTTACTTTAACTCATATGCTGTTTTCAATGATTTTGTCTCAAGACAAAATTAAATAAATTCAAAATCCGAAGATATTTCGCAGTGATTCTTGAAACTGAATATCATTATTAGTAGTCGAATAACACTAGAAACTAACCCTCATCCAATTGAAATATATAATAAGAGGGTAGGTCCTTATATTTCGTAATACAAATGGTTTGAATCCTGAAGATTTCCGTCTTCTGGGTTATTGCGCTGTGTAGTCTGGTCGATGTTTACCAACGTTTCAGAGGTCATACTGCCTCAGTCATCAGGGCGATTCACCTCAGAAACGTTGGTAAACATCAACCAGACTACAC